CCCCCCCCCGCCCCCCCCCTTCCTCCCCCTGGCAAACTTTGAGCACCGTATTCTCTATCAGGAACCTTTGAGAGAAGTCAGCGGGATTTAGCCTTGGGGAGGAAACAGGACGGAGAGGGCTGGGGGAGGAGGAAGCTGGGAGACCAAAGGCAAAGCAAAAATAGACACGTGGGGCATCGACTGCTCTCCGCCACCTTGCACCTGACTCAAGCACCATTCAACTGGCTCTCGGGTCATAGATAGCCTAGAATACAGGGGAAAGGCAGGTGGGAACCAATGCGGTGGCGATCAGTTCCCTGACAAGTGCAAGGGTTCGGTTCCCTGGTCCATGTGCCTGAGGCCCTCTGGGACAAGAGGAAACAGAATTTGATCTTGTTGTTGTTGTTGTTGTTTTTCTCTTTGAGGCAGGCAGACAGCAGCAGCCATGACTTGTTCTTACCACTTGGGCAAGGACTCGAAAGACAGCAGAGACAACTCGCGACTCCAGAGGCCACGTTCAGGGTCAGTTTTGTCTCCTCGAGTTAACATTAACCTTTGGGTAAACGGAGCCACTCCTCCACGGCTTGGTAAACAGAAGCCGTTGCGGAGGGCTAGGGGAGCGGAACGGGCCGTTTATCTGAAATCAAGGGAGCAGCCCCAGGTCAATATTTCACATACCTCGGTCCTCTTGGACTTTGCCAAGAATGTGCCTGTCCACTGGGCAACACGGGCTCACAAGGCCCAGGTTTCGTCGGGTGGTTGTGCCGAGTACAACTCTGTCTCCCCTTTTCAGGTGTCACCATAACTGGGCTTGGGAATAAGTGACAGCCCCCCTTCGGCAAGAGAGAAACCAGGGGCAGTCCCTGGCTGACTTAATAATTCTGCCCTTCCTTTTGGCGACGGCTGTGAGCTTTCAGTGTGATGGTGGGTGTGATGATTCTCTGAAAACACTAAAGAAGTACACACATATAAGGGAGGCTTTTTTTTTTAATTTTTTAACGTTTATTTATTTTTGAGAGAGAGGGAGAGACAGAGCACGAGTGGGGGAGAGGCAGAGAGAGAGGGAGACACAGAATCGGAAGCAGGCGCCAGGCTCCGAGCCATCAGCACAGAGCCCGACGGCGGGGCTCGAACCCACAAACCGCGAGATCATGACTTGAGCCGAAGTCCGACACTCAACCGACGGAGCCACCCAGGAGGGCGGCTTTATTACTGAGTTATTCATACGCAGCCTCCAAGTTAGAGCCCTCTACTCCCCAATTTTGGTGTGGGAAAGGGGCAGAGAGACACAGAAGGATGCAGTAATGTTAAAAATGTGGCGACAGGTACAAAAAATTGTCTAGAATTAGCAAGTTTGGGTATGGAGGGAAAGTGATTCCCATGAGATTATGTGAGTTGGTGAGCCAGCTGTTATGGTATATTGCTGGAGGTAGGCCAAATTGTTGGGAGTCCCTCTGGGAAACAACATGGAAGATAGATAGGTAGACAGATAAAATAAAACTAGAAGCTTTCCGATTCTGTGTCTCCCTCTCTTTCTGCCCCTCCCCTGTTCATGCTCTGTCTCTCTCTGTCCCAAAAATAAATAAAAAACGTTGAAAAAAAAATTAAAAAAAAAACAAAACTAGAAGCTAATTTCTATATTAACCTAGTAATCCTGGCTCCAGATATATACCTTACCGTGTCCTTTTCTAAACTTCCTTTAATGTTATATTATGTCATTACTAATAATATGTTATAATAAGTTATAATAAACACATTAATACATTTTTTAAAAACCAAAGCGTTTATGAGGGAAGAACAGGTGGTAGGTAGGAAGGGCATCAAAGGACAGGGGTTGCAATGGTGAGAAGGTTGGCAGGGATTTGGAGGTAAAGAGGGGAAGGGCCCCAGAAGATTGGCTTTATGGTCATAGAAATCTTGGAGGTGAAGGTGATGAATCCGTTCATTGGATCTGGGCTGTTCTGGGTCACCCCAAGCAAACTAAGCACATTCCTAAGGATTATTGAAACAAAGGCATTAAAAATCATTTGAAAACCTTGGGGCGCCTGGGTAGCTCAGTCGGTTAAGTGTCCGATTTCGGCCCAGGTCATGATCTCGCAGTTCGTGAGTTCGAGCCCTGCGTCGGGCTCTGTGCCGACAGCTCAGAGCCTGGAGCTGCTTCAGATTCTGTGTCTCCCTCTCTCTCTGACCCTCCCCTGCTTGTGCTCTGTCTCCGTGTCTCTCTCTCTCTCCTAAAAATAAATAATTAAAAAATAACATTAAAAAATATTGAAATTCCCAGCAAACAACGAAGAAGTCATCATGGGGAAGGAGGAGGGACAAGAGCTCTGTTGGACTTCCTTAGTGATATTTTACCGTTTGGTCTTGTTTTTACGTTGAATCGCAGGGGGCCGGAGACACTGTAGCCTTTTCTGTGGTTGGGATCTCGGAAGGGTTCCCTCTGGCCCTGAGCTTGGTATGTGCTCAGTCAGCTACAAATTGACCCTGTGCTCCTCTCCCTTTGCATTCACAGTCAGGCAGCAGGTTGGGCTTGGGACGTTCAGTGTCGTGGGGAGCCAGTTAACGGACCTCCTCAGAGCGCCTCATCTACACCCACTGGGACTAACTCCCTCAGCTAGGAAGGCTTAGGCCTTGGTTCCGAGGCTGTCTCCAGGCACTCGCTCACTTTAATAAGATTGTTTACCAGGTGCCACGCATAGCTTCTCAGCCTACTCCTGAAAAATCCCAGGAGGGCAAAACCAAAGCCAGGATTGGCTGAGCGAGTCCCCAAGGTCAGCGTCAGTGGCAAAAGGTGGAATCGGCTCTCTCCCTGAGCTGGCACCCACCGTGGAGGTGGGGTGGCATTTTATAAACTGCAGTCTGTCCCCTGGTCTCTGAGTGGGTCTCCCACCCGCATGAGCAAGGGAGGGGGTCCCCCTGCAGGTGGATTCAAGTAACTGCCGCTCCTTCTGCCCTCTCTCCAGGGTGGGCCGGGATTTGCCCCCAGCCTCCTCCCAGGCTGGGGAGATGCTCCGGTGCCTGCCTTTGGAGGCCGAGGAAGGGGCAGACTCAGAAGAGCAGGAGGACAGCTCCCCAGAAGAGTCGAAAGAAATCGTCACCCTGGTTTTCATGAGCGAGAACGCTGGGGTACCAGAGAGGCTTCAGAATGCCCCGCAGCAAGGCAAGAAGAAGAGGAAGAAAAAAAGGTTAGGACCAAAAGATGGGGAATGGGGGTCCGTGTTGTTGGGAGCAGAGGGGACCTGGAAGGAAGGGGGCCTTGGCCGCTAATGAGAGGGTAAAAGACGCTGTCAAAATCGCACCCCTTTCGGTTCAGATGGAAAGGATCCACGTGATGACCTGTTTCATAGAACCAAACGATGGTGTTTGTAATCTTAACCACACTTTGTCCTAATCGTCATTCTGTTTGTTGTTTAGCATGCCTTTTTTTTTTTTTTTTTTTTTTTTTTTTTTAATTGTGCGGAGAGAGTCAGTTTCCTTGTTTTAAGGAAGTGCTTCTTGCCTTGGGAACTTAGTACATTTAAAGAAAATTTTAAGGTGTATTTATTTTTGAGAGAGAGGGAGAGACAGAGCACGAGTGGGAGAGAGGCAGAGACAGAGGGAGACACAGAATCGGAAGCAGGCTCCAGGCTCTGAGGTGTCGGGGCTCGAACCCACAAACCGCGAGATCATGACCTGAGCTGAAGTCGGACACTTAACCGACTGAGCCCCTCGGGTGCCCCAGTACATTTTAAAAATAACAAGACTGATGCCGATTTCTGGGATCCGACTGTGGCTTCTGTGTTCTCGTTCCCATTTAATATTCTGTCATGCTTCGCCTCTTTTGGGGAAAATGGATCAGTCCTCAGACTCACTGATGTGTGACAGCTTGTCCACTTTCTAACTCACAACTTCCGTTAGTGGGGGCAGGGGAGGGGGGAAGGCAAGAGGTGGGCGACCATGAAGTAATTTGGCCGAAAAGATTTTTACTTCCTGCTCCTGATGGGCCGCTGGAGTCAAAGGATTGAGGAGGCAAGGTTCATAGGAAGCCAAAGCAGAATTCGTTGCAACCACAATGCAGAATTTCGACCTCGTGGGCTGAGTAATGGTAGCGCCCGTGTTTTTTCTGCCTCTCTGCAATCCTTTGGATTCGTGTCTTCAGTAGGGGTGTAGTCAAACCAGGCTGGGTACGACTGAGTAGGCTTGGACCCGCCTGGGGTGGGATGCTTCTGGGTGCGGCCACGTGTTCTGGCAAGTGCGTCTGTCTCTGTCTTGCTGCTTTCCTTCTTCTCTTTTCCAGATGATTGGTGATCAATCTCTCCACCTGCCGATACGAGAGCGGTGAGCGCCTGCATTCGAGGGATCCACCATGGGGACCCAGTGGATTGCCCCCAAAGGGTTGGGAAGGGTCACTTGTATCTTTTTGGGGGTGAAAAGGGGGTGTCTCCAAATCCTCACGTTTCCTTCACCCAGCTCAGTTAACTATTCGAGGAAGGGAATCTCACTCCAAGAAAACGTGGGTTTTGACCATGGTGGTGCCATACTTCAGTTCTCTGTAGTTCTGATGTAGGATTCTTTGGGAATCCGTAGAAAAGGCAGGGGTTGGTCCTTGTTAGAGCAGAAGTTAGAGACTGGCAGCCTACAGACCCACGTTGGACTATAGAGAAGTGTTGTTGTCATTATATAATTCCGAGTTTGAATAAATTTCAGCCTGGTCCTGCCTTTCCTGGTCACTTGCAGGCACTTCTTCCTTTCCAGGCCTTTTTTTTTGTGTGTGTTTGCATTGGAGTGAGCTCCCAGTTCCAAATGCTAACAGGGACAGAGAAAGAAGGATGTGATAGCATATAAGTGTGGGTTTTTCTTTAATGTTTTATTTATTTTTGGGAGAGCGTGCACCCGCAGGGGAGGGGCAGAGAGAGAGGCGGACAGAGGATCCGAAGCAGGCTCCGAGCTGACGGCAGAGAGCCCGATGTGGGGTTCGAGCTCACGAGCCACGAGATCATGACCCTGGCTGAAGTCGGACGCTCAACCGACGGAACCGCCCAGGGGCCCCAGCCTATATGTGGTTTTGAAATGCACTGTATACTTTTTTTTCTGTTAGCTTCCTACTTAAGCTTGACTCTGGCTAATGTTAAGGATTAGTTTACATTCCCTGAACACAGAGTACTTAGTGTTTGGAGGAAGGCCAGAAGCCTACTTCCTGGCAAGGGAAAGCCAGGGCAGGTAAAACATTCTTCCCAGATAACCTTCTGTGGGGTTCACCGGGTATAGGCTGTATTCCTCAGTAGATCTCCCTGTTTCTTTCTTGGCAAAGGTATGTCCAGACCAGGCAAGATGGCTTCCAGTTCCAACGAGCTGAGGTGTCTCTCTTCAGCACATGGTCTGACATGGTCTGAGACCACCTAGAAACATAGCCTCCCCACCCCATGCTCCTTCCCCACTTCCGGGGCTAACAGGCCTTTCTTTCTCCAACTCCATGGCAGTGCGTAGGGCTGCCCAGCAGTATGGCCTTCGAGAGGGAGGGGAAACCAATGACTGGACTCTCTACTGGACAGACTACTCAGTGTCGCTGGAGAGGGTGATGGAAATGAAAAGTTACCAGGTATCTGGGGCAGAGCTGGCCCTCAGTATCAGTGTGGCATCTCTCCAGCGGGCTCCCACTTTTAGGACCGTCCACCAAGGGGATCTCATGGGTTCTCCCGTGGCCCCCATTATTCATGAACTCTGGCTTCCTTCACAGAAAATAAATCACTTCCCTGGGATGAGTGAAATCTGCCGAAAGGACTTGCTGGCCAGAAATATGAGCCGCATGTTAAAGATGTTCCCTAAGGATTTCCTCTTCTTCCCTAGGACCTGGTGTCTTCCTGCTGAGTAAGTGCCCACCTGTGCACCCTTCTCCACCCTCCACCCCCCAATTTACATTTCCGTCTTGCTCTTGATTCCCTGGTGCCACTTTCCCTTCCCAAAGGATCCCCCATCTATCGCTCTCCTTTTCAGGAAGCGAAGGGATAAAGGGTGTGTCCAAGGTTGAGAAAACACAAAGCTCTGCTATAAAAAATTAGATGACATCTCGGGGCTGGGTGCCTTGGAGCTTGTGCCTGTAGTTGGGATGAGAATGGGTTCTGACCCTGAACGCTGTTGATTTTGAACTTGTTCCAACCTCTTTTTTTTTTTTCAACGTTTTCATTTATTTTTGGGACAGAGAGAGACAGAGCATGAACGGGGGAGGGGCAGAGAGAGAGGGAGACACAGAATCGGAAACAGGCTCCAGGCTCCGAGCCATCAGCCCAGAGCCTGACGCGGGGCTCGAACTCACGGACCGCGAGATCGTGACCTGGCTGAAGTCGGACGCTTAACCGACTGCGCCACCCAGGCGCCCCAAACTTGTTCCAACCTCTTAAGTGTGCGGTTTCTGGATTTTGAAGGACCATGAACACTTCTGGAGGGAGTGAGATAATGGTTAGTGCCCAGGTTGGGAGCAGGGAGGGACGCCTGACCTCTGTCCCACGGCAGGACTATGGATGGCAGGCAGCCTTTCCCCATCCCCCACCTCACTTTCTCCATCTTGAAACTGGGCATCCATTCTCGGTACACAGATTGCTCTGGACCACACCACCAAGGAACAGAAGAAATGTGAGATGACATAAATGTGACCTGGGTACCATCTGGTCTTTGGGATGAGGTGGAGGGGGCAGAGAAGCGTTGCCATTGGAATTATATTCACACAGCAAGAATCCTACTCTGTCCTCTGCACCCAGTGCTTTTCCTTTTTTTTTTTTTTTTTTAATGTTTATTTACTTTTGAGAGAGAGAGAGAGAGCATGAGCAGGGGAGGGGCAGAGAGAGAGAGGGAGGCAGAGATCCCAAGTGGGCTCGGCACCGAGAACGGAGAGCCTGAATGCAGGGCTCGAACTCACGAACTGTGAGATCATGACCTGAACTGAAGTCGGACGCTTAACCCACTGAGCCACCCCGGCACCCTCCCAGTGCTTTTCCAAACCAGGAGCTCCAAGATTCCCAGACTTCCTCAGCTTGTCTGGAACAACTTTGGGGACTTAGTAACAACTCAGAAGGAAACATGTTTGCCTTTAAGCCACCGGGCACATCCAGATTTCATGGCCCCTAAGGAACTTGGCAGTCAAGTGACTTCTCTAGTGGTCACAATGCAAATGAGTTAAAATGCAGAACAAGTGTAGCAGGACTGAGATCTGTAATGCATCACATTGGCTTCTTTCTTCCGGATACGCTTTCTTCAGAGCGGAGAATACTGTTTGCACCTTGTGCTCTGGCTGGAGGAGAGGTGTTATCCGGGAAGAGCTGGGACCTAGAGTAGGGAAGGAGACGGGTTGATCCGAGGTCACAACACTTGTCAGGGCTTGAGCCAGATGCAGAACGCCACATCTCCTGTCTGCAGACCCGCAGGGCCAAGACACTCGGGTCCCAGCTCCCTTCGTGGGGCATGCAGTCTGTGTTAACGCCTTGCATGCCTCCTGTCATGTGATCAACCACCGTACAAGCCAGGTGTCGTTACCCCACGGTGTAGGTGATGGGAGTAAGGCTTAAAGAGGTCAAGTCCTTGCGAAGGGTTACACAGCTGTGAGCGGTGTCGCCTGGGTTTAAATCCCGACCCAAGTTCCCCCCAGAGCCCACCCTCCCTCCACCGTGTGCGCGTGTGCACGGCCGTCTCTCCTATTGCCAGGTCTCGTAACGTGCGTCTGTTAGCTCGAGGGCTTTTTCACATTAGAGAGCTTTAGTGTTTCTGTTTTGGTTTGGCTTTTGATGTTTTTTTTGTTAATAAAGGGCTAGGCTTTCTTTGCACTGCTCCCCCTCTAAAGGCGTATTTCATTCCCTTTCTGCCGCTCTGGTAGCTGGGGAGATTTGCAGAACTACAGCAGGTCAAGAAAAAATAAGACGTACATTTGTAAGCCGGATTCGGGCTGCCAAGGGAGAGGTATATTCATCACCCGGACGGTGAAAGATATCAAGCCAGGCGAGGATATGATCTGTCAACTCTATATTTCAAAGGTACTTCTTCCTTGGGATTATTTATTTCTTGCTACAGCAACCTCATGCTCTAGCTTCACTGGACTGTGGGAAATGAGGGGACGGGGGCTGGTGATGGGGGCCGAGCCGAGTCATGTCTTCTGCCCTGGAAGTTGTCAGAGCAGGCCTTCGGACCAGGGATGTGATGTGTGTCTGGGCAAGCGTCTCTCACCCTTGTGCCCCTGTAGCTGGTCTAGCCTTACTAGGCTGGCCCTTGTCCTCCAACCGATGGCAGCTGGAGGGCACCTTTGGTCTGTGGGTGCCCCGCTTCATTTGGGAGAGGGGAATCGTCCTGGAGAGATCATGGTGACCGGCTTTACTCCATGGCTGGAGGTCAGAGGTCACAGTGGTATAGCCCGCCGCAGGGAGGGAGCCCTCTGGGAGCGGGCGCGGATTGGGAAGGCCCGGCCAGCCGTGCAGGAAGCACTCTTGCAGAAGTGACATTGGTGACAGCATGTCCCTCATCACAGGACTTTATAATGGCACTTTGTCTGGTTGCCTGGAGATCTCCGGGAGGTGGTGAGTTGTGCTGTAGAAAACGGAGGCACAGCGTGGTTTAGTGACTTCCACAGGGCGA